ATATGACCTTAAGATTTCTAATACAACTAGTATTCTAGCAAAATTTGTTAATGCCACCTGTCGGTTCCATCATCCTATAGTGGTGCACCCCTTCCCAAGAAAACATTCTGGATCTGCCTCTGGTCCTAACAAAATGTTTCCACAAAATTTTTTTAAGTCTTTTTTTTAATTTTGATTGGTTATCACAGGTGCTCGAGTATGGCTTATAATGGGTTTCTTACTGTTATTTGGGAGTTTGATCGCAGCTTCCTGGATTCTTTTTGGTGCTTATGTTGTTCCAGGTATTGTTATAGTAATAGCCGGCAGGGCCCCAGTTGTGTGAAAAGCAGTGAAAAACTTGTTTTATCTGACATTGATAGTGTGGTAAAAAACAAGTCGATGGTCACTGTGGTTTTACCTTGGTCTGCACTCTTACTGACAGTGATATTTGTCATTACAGTAATCAAAATTTGTCGTAAACTGACTCAGTTGTACCTTGTGAGTCCACAACATGTTAACCACTGTGATGATAAACCATGCCAACCACTGTCAATTTGATAAATGAACAATTTTTTCAGGACTAAAGTTTGTGTCCCTAAGTGGAAGTCTCCCCTGAATATCTGAAAGGAAAGGTTTCATCGTAATTGCATTCTTTCTGAAATTTTACTGTAAAAATTCAGTGGTGATGTTGGTCTATTATTTGCTGATTGTTGATCACTAGCCATGTCCTCAATACATTTCTTCCTCCTTATCCATTGTTAGGAAAAGATACAATGTTTGTCAGTGTTATTTTTTTTACAGCAAAGCCTCATCCATGGCCTGGAGTGGCAATCTTCCTTCAAAATGCTTTCATATTCTTCAGGCAAGTCGGAATGTTTGATGGTTATGAGTACCCATGATGCAAAGCGAGACATAGTGGCCTTGTAGTTATTGCCCTGGGCCCAGTTGTTTGAAGGCCGATTTGCACTAACCTAGGGTTAAATTTTAATCCAGGTTTCTACATTTCTCTGTTCAAAAGCCATTTTGGAATAATTTACACAATTCCTTTTAGAGCATTCAGTCATAAAATTGTAGACAATTGGAATTAAACTGAATTTTCTCTTAAAGCTTTCAGATCTGAAATCAAATTTCATACTAACCCTGGGTTACCTCAAACCACCTTTGAACAACCGGGGCCTGGACTGTAGGTGGAGACATCTGAGTTTGAGACCTGGCAAGCTCATTATATTGTGTTCTTGGGCAAGAAACTTTATTTTCATCATGTCTCCTCCCACCCAGGAGTTGTAACTGGGTAGTGATGAACTGACCGGGACACAAAATACTGGAGGGGGTACCATAACCTACAATGGACTAGCATCCCATCTGGGGGGAGGGGGGGTAGTAAAACTCATAGTCTGTTCATGCTACAGAAACTGGAATGAGCTTGACCGGGATGGACCACTCAGCTCAACAACATATATTACCTATCTTTTTTCACAGTACCATGAAGCATTTACTCCTGGTCAAATAAAAAGGCAGTCTGTTATTTTTTTATTTTATTCTTTTTTTTAACTTAGAAATATGACAGTTAAGGGTTGGTTACTGAAGGTCCCTACTGGTACGAAACTCTGACAGATTATTTTAGGAAGGCTGGTTACAGTGCAATATTTTCATGCTTGCAGTAACTTTTTGAGTTTGTGGTTCAAAACTGAGTGGTTGTTATTTTCTGCTGCCAAATTGGTAAAAGTTTTACTTCCACAGTTCCTATACCTTTTTCTCTCACCTAATATTTTTTTTGTTTCCTTTACAGTGCAATTGTGTTCAAGTTTGGCCGTACGGAGGAACATTGGTAGAATTATGCATAGTCATGTAGTGCACATTTTTCAATGTTACCTGAGGCTGTAGAGCAAAAAAAAACAGCACAATTTTGAGTACTTATTTAACTTTTGTACATTATTTTTGAAGAAAGTGTTAAGGAGTTACTACAGCCCCTCTGGACTCAAGGGGGTGGGCAAGGGAAATTTTTGTGTACACATTGCTGAAGGATTTTCACTGGAACTTCATTCAAATGAATAACAATGATTCTTTATTTTATTACCGCCAAATTAAGGGGCCGACCATTTAACTTTTGAGGGGGGGAAGGGTGATTTCTGGTCATCAAGAAATTTTTTTTCTAGCAATCTGCTGTGCAGGATATTTTTTCCGTTCTAAATGCCTTTTTTCTTCTGTTACATTTGGGCTGCATGCAATTTTTTACTTCCAACAAGCGCTTGCAGGAAATATTTTTTCAAAATCACCCACCCCCTCTCAAGAATTAAATGGTCAGCCCCTAAGAAAACTGTGAACACCTTAATTATTTTACAGTACTGTGTTATGACCAATCAGTTAAGTTTCTGGAGAGAGAAAAACAAAGAAATTTACTTATTATGATCATTGCTTCTCACAGGCCATTCACATGTATGTCATACCATATTGACGGTAGTGTAAATACTCTTGAAATATTTCTGGTGCACACAGTTTTGGAAGCTTGTCAGTAACAGTGTTGATTGTTCGAATAAAGCTAAAAGGCCACATGAACAAGTTGTTACACTCAAAGAATTAACAAATCAAAAACAGATCTCTATTGACTGTTTCCAGAAAATCTAATTTGCAGAAGGTAATATAATAAGCAAGTTTTGCAATGTTCAGTTTATGATGAAAAAGGTGCCATTGTCTGTGTAACAACTTATGCTGTTTAAATGCTTTTTCTTTGAGGGGAAAAAAAAGAATTGGCTTTGTAAGCCACAACACTAATTAAAAATTATATTGCTGAGACAAACCTGTTCATATTTTGCTCCAAATTAGGTGTAACAATCATTTTAAAAATATAACTTGATTCAGTAGGATTGTGATTTTATTAAAATGAAAGTCACCATGTAAATACATTGTTTTGCTTTAATACATCCATATCACATTCTATGACAAGCTAATGATGGCAAGCTGTTAAACTAGTTAAAATTTGTGGAACTTCTTAATATGCAACAAAACTGACAAACATATTCAGGTCAATTCTCAATGCCCACAAATCAAACTGTTGCTGCGAGCTACAGTGACCTGTTGCTAAGTGTGACCTAGCCTCAATTCATTTAAACACTGGGTGGAAACCAGCGATAAACTTTGACAATGCCATCATCCCCTCCAGCTGCAAGACAGGGACCTTGCCCATCATCATCGATAGAAATGGCATTGACTGCAGATTTATTTACTTGGAGCACACAGTGGATTTTGGTGAACTGAAATAAAAATTACTTTATAAAATGACCATTTGTCAAGCATCTTGGGACATCATATTTGAAGAGCCATGAAACAAACTGATATTTTCCAATGAACTCTTAAACTCCCAAGATCTGATTACTAATTTTCTCCTCTGGCTGCTACAAATTTCCTTGTAACTTAGTTATGAGATATTGGTGTTAGATCATTACAGCAACTTTTACCTGAAAAGTTTACGTATTTTCATAACCTGTTTGCTGAATGTTGCATGAATATTATGGAAAGAAATTCCAAGTTAATCACTTCCAGGAGTTAAAGGGTTAATTATCCATAATCTGATTTGAAATTCTCCCTTGATGCTACCTTGCATTTCCTTCTAAATTAGTTGCGAGAATTTGGTGTCATATCAAGGTAACACCCTCTCGCGGATAAGCTTGTTTACTCTCTTTATCAGTTAAATGAATCATATGTGGATATTTTGAAGAGAATTTACATGCTGCTCCCTTCTGGGCTAAGTAATGATTTGTACACGTACCTGATTCTCCCATTTGCCGTTGAGGTGGTAGACATAGACAGTTCCAGTAGAACTGGTTCCTACAGCAACTATGGCTCCATGCATGGTTAAACATGTTCCACGAGCAACACCAGTAGAACATGGACCAATGACAGGAAAGTTGTGCACAATGTTGTCATTTAATTTACATTCCCTACGGAGAAATAGTTTATTTGAACAATAAAAAAGAGATTGAATTTTAAGAGAGGAATGTGCATGTTGATGGCTGCCCCTCCTCTCTCTTATCAGAGCCAAGATGAGGCTTGTCAAAATTCAGACATATTAACAAAGTTGAAATGGTAAATTGGCCACCCTAATGATTACAAAAGCAGATGTTTCTAGCCTTAGTCCTTCGTCGGAGCGAATAGAGGAATTGTGGGTTGTGTATGCTTTTAAAGGCAGAAAATGGAGCTACGTTAATGGTGGGAACATGGCAACGAGAAAAACACGAATAAATTAGTGGAATGAAAAGCGTTCGTTGATCCCTGTGGGATTTAGACTGCCGGTTTGAAAGATGAGCTTTTGTTCAAGAGTTTTACGGCTTTCCATGCTACCTAAGTGTAAGGAAAGTCCGCAGATTGCCATATGTTGCTTAGAATGATTAGGTAAATTAAGATGTCTAGCGACTGGTTTCGATGTGTCCTTGTCATTCCTTTCCATGTCGGGAAGGTGTTCTTGGAAAATTCAACCTTGTGGACTCAGTCCATGGACCATTTCTGTCAACCAACACATGAGACTCCTATCCGCCTGGGCTATCATCTTCCACCATATCCTCTTTCTTTCAATTTTTCTGGCTACAGTTTCCAAAATGAACCAAGATAGAGACTTACATGCAAGGAAGAGGCATCTTTGCCTGACAATTTTGGACCCTTGAAAATAATCAGGGAAGTAAATACATGCAGTGGTGAAGGTTGCTAAGTGCAACTGTTAGGCTGTCTGCATCATTGCACCAAGAAATACATACCAAGCAAAGAGACCATTGAGGGCAGTTAGGACAAGAACTTTCTGCCCCCTAAGGACAGCACCGTGAACTCTGGGTAGGGAAGGGTTGGATGCTCTTATTCTAATGGATGATAACATTTGTGAATCTGCTATGGACCTGTGGAATAAATGTATGAAAATGATAATTGTAGAATGATGTATCGAATAGATTGACATTAGTGGATTATTTATAAATCATTGATAAGAATGGGGATTGTTCTATACAACTGTTTGCAGAGAGGTTGTCAGAAAAGTACACATGATAATCTCAAAAGATAATCTGGATATCCAGTAATCACTGAATTTTAATAAAGAAACAAACAAACATGGACAAAAGAACAATAACAGAGGATAAATACTGACATGCTCATGAATACAAGAGGAACAAAACAATAAAATAATTATGTTATAAATATCTTATCTTTAAGTCACTTTGAATTTGCTTTTGTTCGGTTTACGTTGTTTCTGTCATTCATTAGGGTCTCTGAGTTTAATCTTTTTTTCCACATTTCATCAAGTTTTGATCATTTTTCTTTTTTTTGATCATTTTTCATCAAGTTTAGCACTGAAAACTACCCACAATACCTTTCAGGTTTGTTACATGCCCTAGCACTGAAAACTACCCACAATACCTTTCAGGTTTGTTACATGCCCTGGCACTGAAAACTACCCACAATACCTTTCAGGTTTGTTACATGCCTATGCCTCTTCCTAACAGTGTTGTATTTCTTGAAATCCTGAGGTCAAGTAATCGGGACCTGAAAACTACCCACAATACCTTTCAGGTTTGTTACATGCCCTAGCACTGAAAACTATCCACAATATCTTTCAGGTTTGTTACATGCCCTAGCACTGAAAACTACCCACAATACCTTTCAGGTTTGTTACATACCCTAGCACTGAAAACTACCCACAATACCTTTAAGGTTTGTTACATGCCCTAGCACTGAAAACTACCCACAATACCGTTCAGGTTTGTTACATGCCCTGGCACTGAAAACTACCCACAATACCTTTCAGGTTTGTTACATGCCCTAGCACTTTTTCTGACAACCTTGCCACAAACAGCTGCATATAAATGTCATCAGCTATCACTTACCACAAAGCCAGCTTGCCATTAACTGTAACATAAAGCAGAGTATCAGCTCCCCAAAGTCTTGTTTGTTCCACCCAGTCACCCAAATTACTCAGTATGTAATAGCAAGAACAATTATCCTGGCAATGAAAAACAAAAAGTTCTTAGTTTAGCCTTAAAAAATATATATTACCTTTAGTGCTCAGTGTATGGGTAATATTATTGCTATCCAGTAGAATGAAGGAGCTAGCCTGATAATTTTTTGATCTTAGAAGGTCATACTTCTACCACACTGTACTTGACAAAATGCTCATCTAACTCTCATGTATGATTTATCTTGTGGGATTTCATATTAACTAAATCCTCAGCTCAAGATGAAATAATCAAAAACTCTACAACTTAATTTCAGCAAATAATTGATGAGTTCAGTCAAGGCTCTGATAAAAACAAACAAACGTCTACACAAAAGGTTAACTAAACTGTGCTGATGCGCCATATCCTAACAGAACAGTCTTCTGAAGCAGAGGCCAAAAAAGAATTGTCTCCAAAACTGACACAGTTGACGGGACCATTGTGGCCAAGACAGGTTGCCATAGCAACACTGGAGGGTTCCTTCAGGTTCCAGATTTTAACTGAACAGTCTCTAGAGCCAGATGCAAGAAGATCGTGTGGGGGGGTATCTAAAGGCTTTTTCCACAGACCTACAGAAAAGTGATCACCAACATCATAATCATGATTACTATTATTTTTATCATGATTGTTAAATCCAATATTAACCAAACCAAGAAACTTATTGACTGTAAAATCCTTAAATATCTATTCAAAAACCGTCTTCTTAAAACACCTATTTTTGCCCAAAAAGCCACACGGGACAAAGCCACCTCCTGGCAGTTCACGGATGGTCACAACAATGATCATAATCATCATCAATAATGACCAGAGGGTCTCCTGTCACCTAAGCCCCAGAAATGCTTGTAATACTGTCTGTTCAAGAACACACCCCAGGCCATTGTTTTAAAGTGTGGTTGTTGAGAAAAGTCATGCATGCATCTGAAAGCACCTGTGAAGGCTACAAAAGATATTTGAGAAATGTACTGATTATTATTAATATTTATTGACATCATTGCTAGAAATGACTCAATTTATTGTCAGTGATAATTATCAAGAGCCCATCACCTTGAAACAAAAAACATAGCAATGCTTTTATCTTGATAACAATCCAAGACAATGCTTTAGTTTACTAAACAAGGAAATTATTCAAACCTGGTGTTTGCCTCAAAGAGATGGAGGTTACAGAATCAAGATGGCCCTTAAGAACCATTAAGCAACATCCTGTCCACCCATCCCAAATACAAATGTCACCATCCACACCACAAGTCACAACTCTGTCCCCAGACAATTTCACATCCAGGACTTGGCCTTCAAAGTCAAAAACCTTTAATTAATAAGTTAAATAGTAATACCAGAGAAAAAGAATTCTACCATAATTCTGTACGCCAAAGAACTTGTGGCTTATGTTTGTCTAGTCTAACACTTGTATCCCATCAGATCTTTGGGTAGCTGAAAAGAACCCATTCACATTAAAGTCAATACTGCAGATGTAAGCAGCAGTTTTCTAATTGAACCTGGTGATCTTCACCATCAACTATTTCTAGTTCCTCTGATCAACACTGTGTGATTATTCACCATTGACTGAAGATTTCCCTATAGCATTAATTATCACATTCCCCGCTAAGTTTCCTTCACTCAAACATTTGCAATGGTGGGTCCTGAATACTGGACCTTGCAGAAGAAAGATCCCTGATTGGTCCAGGGCTGCCTACTTCCTATTCACAGCTAACTTCAGCAAGGTCACTCCACAATCTGTCACATCAGGACCCACCCAGTAAGAATTGTCTCTTCTCCCCTGACACGAGGGACCAAAAAACTCTACTGATCCACCTATTTGCAGAGTACTGACAGCTGTATGCGTAATTTTTCCTTTCTTAGTGTACATTTCACATGGCAGAACCCCCTTTGCACGCACAAGATTTTGTCTCTGCTGATTGGCTGATAGCCTATATCCTCTATGGCACTGTACTATGAAGTGACCAAGAATATTACATGTACTGCTGTTAGCTTCTTTGATGGGATTCCAACTCATCACATACAGGAAACCCCTAAAATTTCGCTACACTATTTTTTTTCATATATTCTTAATAAAATTTTCGAAACTTGCTTAAGGTCTTTCCAGACCTTGAGGAAGGTTTCAAAAAAGCATATGAAGCTAAAAATGCTGCCGGGGAAATCCGTCTTACCAGAATGCCCCTCAAGCTCAGTTATCATACAAGGCCATTTTCCAATATGACGACTTCTGAACCACCTTTGATAGATGGCCTTCCAATCGATGTTGCAGTTTTTCTGACCGCCGTCTTTACCAGTAGCACCTGAGTGTCCAAGATTGTCGTCTGAGAATATTTGATTATCTCCCGTTATTTCTGTAAGAACATCGTATCCAATATCGCGAACACAAGCTTGTCTCCACAACAGTTTATATTTTGGCTGCGCGTGCAACGCTAGCCATGTACGGCAGACTTGCCGTGATTTAGCCACAGAAATTGCGTCTAAATGCTTCAGTATTTCATCTATGAGCTCCAAAGGTAGATCAGAGCAGTTCATCAGGATCAGTCACGTCAGGGTTCAACTTGAGTAACTTTCTGCTACATTCGCGACTTGCGCTTTCTTGCCGATAGCCGCCTCAAAGAAGGCATTGTCTTGTACACTGACTTTTCAGATATCAAAATCGAGAAATAACCACCACCATTGACATCTTTACTGTCAATTTGATGAAACTTTCATCCGTGGTTGGAAATTCCACGAGAATGCGTTACCTTTGCTGCTAACAAACTACAATCACTCCGTCATGTTCTTCATTTAGTCCATACTGGTATATGACCATATTACTTTGGGGCCCATTCGGGCCCTTTTACCTATACCTGGTCTTCAGTACCCGCCGACAACCCTCCCCACCTAGCTACCCTGAACGAGCTAACTTTTCACTTATTTCTTTAAAAAATTCAGCCGACCGTTCACATGAGGTCATGAACTCATCTCTGGTAGGCGAGACAACTCGGGGGAAAGGGGGGGGGGGGGGGACGAGTTGTCTCTCCTCGGCAGGGATGTCTTTTCCTCATTTAAGAATTAACCTTGTCTCGCCCACTCGAGACGAAACAACTCGAATAGACAAAGCGTACAACACGCCACAACCAGAGCACAGAGCGCTGGACTGTTGTGCGGAAGGTCGAGGGTTCGAGCCCCGGCCGGACCAACACTCAAGGTCTTAAAATAATTGAGAATATGCTACCTTTCTATAACATCAAGAAATGGTTAGATATTCTAGTCTTCTCAGATAGGGACGAATAAATGGAGGTCCCGTCTCCTGTAGGGTTAGGGGTAGGAGACGTTAATTTCCCACGCACGAGATTACTGTGTGATGGATGTCCTCCCCTGGGGTGGGATGGTTGGGTTACAAAGGGGTTAGGTGTCAAATGGGACGAAAGTTCCGTTCCTNGTTTCGCAAGTACCAGTTGCTCGACATACCTGCGTGGCCCGTGCGACGAAATAACTTCACGGGATTGGCAAAGTTTCAGTCACAGCAAATTATGCAAAAAATCTAGAAAGATTTAAGCTTAAATCTCGTTTATCGTTTAAAGCGACATATCAATGACTGCAACCATCGTGTGGTATACAAACCTCGCAAACTTTAAAACACGTTCTCTAGTGATACCTGCGAAAGTATTCAGTATAATTTCCGGTAAGATTTTCGCGGACAATCTGATCGATTTCTCTTACGTTGTGTGCCGAGACTGAAACTTTTCACCTCAAGCAAATCTCTGTCGCACGGTCGCAACAAACATGGCGAGCAACTGGGCTACTAGTATATGTCCGTGTTAAAACACACGAAAGGACTCTAAAGCACACTTCACACTGATTGGGCAGAAAAACACAAAGATTTTCTGGCACCAATCAGATGGCAGAACGACTGCGACCGTTTGGAACTAGTCTTGTAAGACAATGTCCCCAGGGGCTCTTCATGCCCTAACTTGAAATCCACTCAGCCCCTGGGTCTCCGAGGATGAACGAGGGCTAGCAGATGTCAAATTTCATATAAACGCTCCGTGGTGTTGTCTTGGGGGGAGGGTAGGTCTTTATAGATTATGATAGCATAATTTTTGGCATAATTTGAGCAAACTGGCATGTATATAATTTCTGCCAAGTAGCAATGCTAGCATAATTCGCATATTTTGATAATTATCGGTTCATTTTTGGTGCGACAATTTGATCATTGTTCATCTCTACTCCCAAGCACTTGGTGACGTTATTCGATATTTTAAGTTTTAGTTCAAGTAGTAGCATTTGTAGTTCACTGTGAATCACTGAGTGGCGTCTGAAACGGTCTTAGCCCATGCAGGGTCTGGGGTGCACCGGAACTGGAAGATTGGTCAAAAACCTATTATACTCAACTGGTAAACCCAAGGAAAACTTAGTTTATTTCATACAATCTTCCCATAAAATACATTTTTGAATTATCTTTCGGTATATGATTTTTTTGACTTGGTCTATACTGAAATGTAGCCAAACCAATCTCATCAAATTAAATACACGTTGGCAATTAATTACAAGTCTTTTACATACTTGTTGATTCCCTAACAAATTCAGACCCCTATTTTTGGGTTAATGTTTCCTTCAAAAAAGTTCTGTCCCACAGAAGAAGAAGAAGAAGAAGAAGAAGAAGAAGAAGAAGAAGAAGGAGAAGGAGAAGAAGAAGAAGAAGAAGAAGAAGAAGAAGAAGAAGAAGAAGAAGAAGAAGAAGAAGGGAGACATGGAACCAATATCATACAAACAATATGCCGCTTTTTTGTTTTAAGAAAATATTCAGCTTAATTCCTGTACATAATCAAGAAATTAATGGACTGCGGCAAGAAAACCATGAACCTAGAAATTGCGCAGGAAAAAAATCTGTCTTCTAAAGTGGAACTCAACCAAATCGGCGAGTTATTAAAAATTATTCTTCACCAATCGATATATATAACTGACGAATTCGCTGCCATGACAAATCTATAGTGACACCTGTTTCAAAACAAATGGTTAAGTTTCCACGCTATCCACTTTTCCTGCGGACCATTTTCCAACGGTTCGTGTTCTTCACAGTCCACTTTCCCCGTGATCTATTTTTCCACAGTCATTCATTCACAATAAAGAGGTTTTTCTCACTGTCGATTTTTGCCACGATACATTTCCCCATAATCTATTTCCCTAGTGTTTTATTATGTTCTATTGAACGACTGAAATATTTTAAGTTACACTACTGTTAACCTATCGTACACAAAAATGATTTCCTTTTCTTCCGTAGGAATAACAAGCGCTCGTTTCTGCTGGCTCTCAATTATAGGATCTTTGATGCACTGTATAAGCGAAAACACGACAGCTCCACAAACGGTTGGAGCGCCGGCTAAGAAGAATAAATTCTGATAGTTGCCTGTTAGATCACCGAACCATCCTAAGGAAGGAAAAAAACAAGGTGAGTTTCAGTAAAGGATTGAATTACACATCTTCAAAATGTTTTTTTCCTCAGCTTTGGCTTCAGAAGTTAAAAGACAAAACTGGGTTGGAGGAGAAGAAGTTTTGAATGCCGACTATCTCAGAACCAACTTTGTTAAAATATTAGTTTTATCGGGAAGTCACTGAAAGGAGGACAACTGCCTGATTAATGAGCAAAAAGTATGGCGAATAATAATTAATGAAGGTTTAGTGTAAAACTTATTTCAATCCGAGAAATCTGTCACGAAGAAAAATGGGATACAGAGTCTGGTAAAGTCAGCAATCTGTGACGTAACGCAACTGGTGCGCAACCTCGCCTCCTTAAAGGGAGGACGCGATCAAGGCTGAATCAGGCAGCCTCGTTTCTAGAGAGGGAGAGGGCCATGGAGACGAACTAAATTTCACTCTTACCTGCCGCTGGGGCACCAAGCAGCATAGAAAACGACATAATCATCAACACAGCTCCCCAGGCTACTGACATCATTTTACGGTCCGTGCATTCAAACGTTACAATGGACATAAGCCCGATGAAACAACCATCCAGCAGTCCAAGGACAACTACATATAATACGAGCATACCATATCCCGCTGCATAGATAGCAAGAAGAGGAGAAACTCCGGAAAGAACCATGCAGATATTGTATAACTTTAGGGTGTCCACACAAGGAATGTCCGAGATTTTCCCGAAGATAATCTTTCCGACACCCGAACCAATTCCGATGTAAGAAAGCAAGAGCGAACCATCCCGATGTGAGGAGCCCATCTCTTCAGCGACGCGAACCTGAAACGAAACCAAAAACAAACTCAATCAAAGTTGGGAAATAAAAACAAAGACTTCCCCACAAGAGTGGCTAAACAATTTTTTCAAACAATCGCGGGAGAAATTTAATGAAACCAATTGGATGAATTCATGCGACGATTTATGAGGTTGGCTATGGTACTAAGAATAAGTCATCAATTGAGTGTCGAAAGTATTTCGATATGTTCCTGGCTCTCATTGGAGTTACAACACGAGCGACGAAGTCCACGCGTGTCTATTCGGTGTTTGTTGTGAGCTCGCGAGAGATCCGCGCGGGTTCTGAAACGGTGATAGTGTGAATACAGACCGTTTTCCAAGCTAGTTCTCGTGGCCACGAGCTTTGCTGATCGTTCTGCAGTGCTCATGAGAACCATAAGAAGCTCATAAAACTTAGGGGCATCTTTTGTGCTCTTCGAAACTAAATTTTATTTCTAGTGTTTTTCTCCTCTTCGGTAATATTAACAAAACGCGAGGCAGCCATTTTGAGATTTGGCATGGCGAGATATGGCGTAATCCTCTACCAATTAGAGCACGAGAATCTCTCTAATCGCCTGAGTGGGAATAATCACTCTTTTCTTTGGAGACTTACCAAATGAACATGTGGAATAAAATATCCAAACGTTGCTATGGTAGACGCTACAGCCCAGATAATAAACCATTTATTTTTCGGAAAGTTTAAAACTTTCTTCTTTGAAGATTTCTCGAATATCACTTCTGAGCTTTTCGTAAGCCTGTCCTTTCCACTCTTTTTCTCGTCCAAAGGCTTGAACAAAAGCCCACAGACAGTTATAACCAGAGCGAGCCCACTCAGAAAACGATAGCACTTCCTCCATCCGAATGCATCTACGATTGCTTGCTGAAGTGGAGCAAGACCAAGTGCTCCTAAATTGCTTCCAGACGTTGCTATTCCTGTAGCAAAAGAGCGTTTCTTGTCGAAATAGTAGGCCACCATTACGAGCGCAGGGAGATAGCTGATACTCGTACCAAATCCCACAATTACCCCGTGAGTGAAGTAAATTTGATTTAAAGTTGTGGCGAATGATGATAGCAGAAGTCCAATGCTGGTAAGTATTCCTCCAACAATAACAACTCGTCTACATCCGTAACGCTCACTGAGAAGGCTTCCCGGATAACAGAAGAAGAATAAGGAAAACTGAGCGATGGAACCTACCCATGCTGTTGAAGGAGACAACACAATTATAATTGAGTTGCTTGTCATCCTCTTCCGCCTCGTAATAAAATACGCCTTCAAGTCAGACTAACGTATAACACGGTATAGATGAAAGATGGAGGATTAAAATGAAAGCAAAGGAAATGAAATTACGTTTTCAAAGGGAAACCATTGACAACTAGAAATGGACGGACGTACGGAACAAGANTGGCGAATTTGAGCGATTTGGTGGGTTTTGCTTTGACTGTTACTTTACGTTATAAGAAGGAGACAAGGGTTGAAAGCTCATTTTCGACCGCTCCTTCTTATAATGTAAGGTAACAGTCAAAGCAAAACCCACCAAATCGCTCAAATTCGCCAATTAGAACTACAGAAACGACAATACACAGCCAGTGAGGTAGGTTTACATTTATTTTGAGCCTTAACATAGACATTCCTTGATATAAGTTTACGATATTACGAATCTTCAATATTCTCCCATACATTTTTTATATTTCGAACAAACGACCAGACACGCCACTTGTGTAGGCTCCCTGTGGTTTGTTGAGCCACGCATGGATGACCGCAAAACAAAGGAAATGTTGAGCCGTGTTGAGCGAAAACTTTGACCAGTTTCAAATTTGATTCAACAAGACTCAACACCGCTCAACACCTCTCAACAGGGTGTTCAAATGCGCTCAACATGTTGAGAGTGTGTACAGCGGACAAATCCAGTGCATTTGCAAGGGGCTTAACAAGTAATTTTTCTCGATGAAGCCAAAGGCGCTTGAGGTTGCCGATCGCACCCGGTGGGTCTTTTACCTTTGTTCTGCGGTCCCTTTTGATTGTGTAACAATGCGCACATTTTTAATTTCTTTAGCTGCCAAGCACTGCTTCTAGATTAGTCGGAAGCTGTGTACCAAGATCACTTATTCTCGATCGTGACAGGCGACTGAGTGCAGTCCAACATCGGGAGAGGGTTTATCAAGGCTGGACACACAAATCCCGAAAAAAAGAAAATGCCGTATAAATCCATCCGGAATTCTAAGTATCACTTCGTTCTTCTTGTTTCGTTGATCAAAAGCCAATAATATTTTAATTTAGTAATCCGTTTATTGACATTTAACTAGTAATTGACCACGTGATTTACAGCCCATTGCGTAATCGCTTTGGGCTGACCTTTGAGTTAATGCGACATTTTGCCGTAACACGCACTCGAGAGCGATCAGTCCCTTTTCTACCTCGCTAGCTGAAGTGTCCTGAGAGAATTTTGCTCACCTGTTTCTTGATACTGGAGTTTTGATTGGATTGCGCCACAGAAGTGAGTAGTGTGTTTGTAATCAGTTGGAATTTTAGTATCATCATTTCGTTTTCCAGCATGAAAATTATCATCAGGAATCGCTTGCTGTTAGATCGCTCAGAAATTATGTATTATTTTTTGTAGATCGAATAAAAACCAATTAAAAGGATTATACGATCTCGTGTCCAATCAATTACTCGCGGGCCATTTTCCTCCACGATCCACTTCTACTGAAACCTCGCTCGGCACGTGCTTGACAGCCGACGCACAAACGATCGTCTTCAGCTGATGGTCGATCAAGTGCCCCGTGCACCAAAAATTTCTTCTGACGTGAGCAACTACGTCAGGAACAGACGTTTCTAGTACAGGAAGTCATCTCACTTTTCTATTTCGCCCATTACAGGCATGATCCTTAAATTGGCGAGCACAATATTACAACCGTTTATCTTCCGAATGGGAAAGCGGACGTTAAATTTCTCTCTTGCCAAATAACCGTAAGAGCATGTTGTCAAAGTCTTATAACAGGGCTACGTTGTATAAATTTTGACAGAAACAGAATTTATATTAGCGGATCAATATATACACAATTTCATCAAAACAAATAAAACAATACACCGGGATTCCATGCAGTTTGCAACACACGCAATAATTAGTTTTGTAATAGGTGTTACTGCATTTTTTCCCTTGAGTGAGATTAAAGGCGTGCTACATTTGTGTATAATTCTCACGCATAACGAAAGAGTAGGAAAACGTTTAATTATACGATTACAGCTATAGCGATTTTAGAATAAAACTATATTTGAGTATAACAAGTGAATGATTAAATTGAATATTCACGCCGGTTAATTTGTTAACAGAGGGAATAAATGTGTGGCCTAGTTTAGGTCAAATTTACAAAGCATGACCGCCCATGTGGTCGAATTTCACTGTTTACGAACGATGTAGCCTAATAATGGACCAAAAAAAATGATAACAGAAACGACTGTTGATAGCAACAAACCACAAATGACATGTATTTTTGTACCTGTCTNGCGCCACAGAAGTGAGTAGTGTGTTTGTAATCAGTTGGAATTTTAGTATCATCATTTCGTTTTCCAGCATGAAAATTATCATCAGGAATCGCTTGCTGTTAGATCGCTCAGAAATTATGTATTATTTTTTGTAGATCGAATAAAAACCAATTAAAAGGATTATACGATTCCGTGTCCAATCAATTACTCGCGGGCCATTTTCCTCCACGATCCACTTCTACTGAAACCTCGCTCGGCACCCGCTTGATAGCCGACGCACTTACGATCGTCCTTAGCTGATGGTCGATCAAGTGCCCCGTGCACCAACAATTTCTTCTGACGTAAGCAACTACGTCAGGAACAGACGTTTCCAGTACAGGAAGTCATCTCACTTATCTATTTCGCCCATTACAGGCATGATCCTTAAATTGGCGAGCACAATATTACAACCGTTTATCTTCCGAATGGGAAAGCGGACGTTAAATTTCTCTCTTGCCAAATAACCGTAAGAGCATGTTGTCAAAGTCTTATAACAGGGCTACGTTGTACAAATTTTGACAGAAACAGAATTAATATTAGCGGATCAATATATACACAATTGCATCAAAACAGATAAAACAAAACACCGGGATTCCATGCAGTTTGCAACACACGCAATAATTAGTTTTGTAATAGGTGTTACTGCATTTTTTCCCTTGAGTGAGATTAAAGGCGTGCTACATTTGTGTATAATTCTCACGCACAACGAAAGAGTAGGAAAACTTTAATTATACGATTATAGCTATAGCGATTTTAGAATATAACTATATTTGAGTATAACAAGTGAATGATTAAATTGAATATTCACGCCGGTTAATTTGTTAACAGAGGGAATAAATGTGTGGCCTAGTTTAGGTCAAATTTACAAAGCATGACCGCCCATGTGGTCGAATTTCACTGTTTACGAACGATGTAGCCTAATTATGGACTAACAAAAAATAATAACAGAAACGACTGTTGATAGCAACAAACCACAAATGACATGTATTTTTGTACCTGTCTTAGCTTTGGACTCCTTGAAATGGTCGAGTAAAGCAGCATATAGGACTCCTACAGTGTAGTGCATTCCCAAAACCACGAACAAGTCACAGAATGCCGCACCACAAACAACCCAAGCCCATCGTCCATCTTTCTCTGTGATTTCTGCATCTTTAGCCGAAGGGAACTCAGAATTAACTGGCGCACATGCTGCGGTTTCCGCGGTTGAAATACTTTGGTCTGCATCAGTCGGAAGTAGTTTGGTTTCATTAAAATCGTCTTCAACGTCTTCTTTCATTTCGATTCGAGTTTACACAGAGGAATACATTTGTGCCTCACACGAATGCGTCCGTCGATCGATTAGCACAAATACCCACCGGTTCGTCTCCCGGTTTGGACGATCGCCGGTAAAGTGATTGATTAAATCGTCTGTCTGGGCCCAACTTGTTAACCTCTCTCGCCAGATCCTTCTAAGAAGTTCTTAGCACTTTAATAGCTCTTCAGTCTGGATAAAATAAAAATCCCGCGAACATAACTTTTCCCTCGTAATTTCGGCTTCCACAACCAATGATAACTATCATCCGATTAACATAAGAACAATAAGATACAAGATGTAAATGATGTGGACGGGTATTCTGAAGTTGCTCCGTTCATCGTGCATCATACGTAAAAGAACAATATAACATGAGCGCCTCGCTTGGCCTCGGAAGACAAGACCCACTGCTCAGTTGGTGGTGGCCCAACTATTATCGAATCCTGTTTGCGTTAGAATTTTTTTCAGGCCCCTTTTCCGGTGAATTATTTGATTTCATTTCAGTTGCCAAGATCGTTTCAATGCCTGTCGTCGGTCGCGCGCGCGCGGGTCAAAATATAGTCTATTTCATTTCAGTGTGAAAATAATGCAGTGAACTTTGACATAATTAGACGAAAAGGTCTGGGTTGGGTGTCTAGGAAAATCAGTTAATTGCATGGTCGGTCTAAGACTAACATTATTTAATTTAGATTTTGGCTTATTTATCGCAAGAAGGAATGTAAAAGTCCTCAATCAGGGATTGGTTCGTTGACCGCGAAATTCCGCGCTCCACCAATGTTCAAACAATGTTTAAAATTCCAAATAGACACCTTGCTCAAAAAGCAAAAAGCTGTTTTTATTTAGTGGTAGACTCGGGACGCTAAAAACCATACACCCTGCTTGTTTTCGTCTATCCGAATGGGCTACTGAGGGTTTCTCTTTCTCCCTCCGCCTCTCAACCGTTACCCACTCCTTCCCCCTCCAGACGGAATGACGTAACATCTTAC